GATGAAACATATACGATCGGAAAGAGTTTAAGAGATCAAAATTACATGATCTGCGGGTCCTAAAACCTTATCCTCTACACAAAGAAGAAAAACAAGGAGATCAGTGACGAAATGTCTCCTGCCCTGCATATCTCTCAATATTGAAAACTTACGGAGAGAAGAAACAAACCTAAGCATATTAACCACCTAGGATTCTTGCAATTTAAAATATACATACATATATATATATTGAAAGACTTTTGGCAAAGACAAAGTCAACCGTCAAAGCCACAGAGCTCGAGCTTCTCTCAACATAGGCACCAATTCGCCGGTAATATGTGTAGCCATCACTCTTTCTAACCCTCCAAACAACTTTCCGCCCACAAAAACAGCCGGAAATTGCACCTTCCCATTGCCATCCCCTTCCAAAACGCCTGCGATTTTCGATAGCTCATCGATTATTGCCCCTTCATCTTCCTCGTCAACGTAAAAAATGGTGGGATTAACGCCAAGGCCCAGCAACAGTTGCTTGACAACATAGCACATGCAGCACCCTCGTCTCCCAAACGCAATCACTGCATTTTCTGATACCAGTCTCGTTACCTGACTGGTACTACTTGTCATACCATCATTTTCCGCACTTTTGCTACTGTCACTTAGCTGTGACTCGAGGCTGGTGGAGCCGCCGGCGGAGGTTGCGGTGGTCGGAGGCCAGGTTGTATATGGTGTTGCTTGCTGCATGGTGGTTTAATTTCTACTGTCTACCCTTTTTTTGGGATTTTTGAGAGAAAAAAGTGATCATAGCTAGGTGGTGTGGTGGAGGGGGGGCTTTTGATAGTGGGTAGGGGCTGATGGGAAGACTATATATATCATAGGTGGGGCGGAGAGAAGCTTGGTAGACCATAACGTCAATGGAAATTACGTAACGTTAGACGTCATAGGTACTGTTGGGACCATGATACTACGTCACTGATTTGCTAAGGCAAACTCCAAGTGGCTGCATACTTTTAATTGCGGCCTTCCATTTTTTTGTCTCTTTTTGATGTTGACAAAATAAGCAAGGAAAATATGATCTCTCTCTCTTTTTTTTTTTTGGGATAATTCGAGGTATTTTTAAAACTTCAACAAAATGCTAAGTGAAGTTGTTATAAATTTTATGGAAGATTTCTGAAATCATTCTATTATTTAATGTAACCGCCCCAAAAGGAGAGCAAGAAAAAGAGCAGAATCTTCGTACTAAATAATTGATGAGAATACGATAGAGACAACGCGCTTTTTGGAAAAGCGTGATTATCAAAGTGTAGAATTCTCACTGGATCACCGACCACGGAATCACGGGATTATCTTATCACTAGAAATTAACAATAGGAAACGATCTACTCGTATCCTAAACATTAGGAAAAAAATAAAATAACTCAACTAATGTGAAATTGTTATCCGGATTTTGACCATTAGATTAGACTGAAGCCCATTTGCTCACGCTTTGGGATCCTTCCATCCTTTTTTCTGTTAAGTGGTGTTTAAGTGAGCGTGCCCATTTTGCACTAACCTACTCTTAATCTTAATTAGGCTTGGTTTTTCGATTAAAGAGATTGTGTAAATAATCATTCTGCTGATATTACTACTCAAAAAATAAGTACCACTAAGATATTGACTATGGAGTTTACAGTAAAGGGTTATGCACCTACCATACGAAGAGTTGAAATTGAAAATTTCGTATACAATTGCTTTCCATGTTGAAGAATTCAAATGGAGAGAATTTCTAGAATTCTTCGACAAAATAGTAGAAAGAAGAACTGAAATATTCTTATGCTGTACATCATGTAGAGCAAGTTAAGGTGATTGAATAACCTAGTTTGAACCTATCAAAAGCTGCAACATCCAAAGTTTGAAGTTAAATTTAACCTTGTGGATCCAACTTATAATATGCTTTGTTTGGCTCCGACATCGATTGTAGATGGGAAAAGAGAATAGATATGGTTCTTATGATGGAAAAACACACACATATATATATATATATATATATATATGTATTGTAGTCTTTGATCCAATATGGCAAAAGTATAGATTATTTGCAGTAATTTATCTAAAATAGAAGTTGACCTTTCGGAGGGCAGTATCATATCAACCCCTTCCTTCTCTAGGTTCTAAGTAGTAAAAACACCAAGACATAAAGAAAGTTTAGAGGTTATTAATAAAAGCAGGGGCTGGCATCCCCACCCGGTAAGCGGGCTTTGCTAAAAAAAAAAAAAAATTTAAAGTATTATTGTGATAGGTTAGTGCAAATAAATATTATCCCATTTCTTGATTTTGTCAAATTACTTATGATGTGCTAGCGAGTTGAAGTAGCCTTGAAGAAGGCCCAAATTATCCTGTCGAAAAGAATGTATAAAGTAAAGGATTTAAGGGTTAGCAACCCAAAAAAAAAAAAAAATCAATTTATTGGATCGATGCTGATGTTGGGACTCTAAAAATTGAGCTCGTATGATTTAAATATTTTTTTTAAAAAAAGTTGCACTGTAGTATGTATTTCAAAAACTTGTTTTATTGTATCTTATTCGACTATTAACGACAGCTTTGTTGAGGAGAGGAATTCCGACACATCAGCATTTGTCTTTGCACTGTCGAAATATTTGTTGGACACGTCGACACGAGGACTGGACTGAACGGATAACGTCCATGCATGAGCATTACTGAATTTGCTATATTGACAATTTCGGAAAGAAAAAATAATTGCTATATTGAACAATACTACTCGAACTTGTGGCGCCCGTTACTCTATCTTTTGCTCTCATGTTTGGAGATAATTTCAATTTTCCTGGATTTGCAGTGAGTTTTTCTCTTTTTTTTTTTTTAAATAAGAAGGAAAGTATCACAAAGAGAAAATTATTATAACTAGAACAGATATAAACAGTCAAATTTTAGATTTTGCTATTATCTTCGGAAATATCGTCAAATTTATGTTAAGTATTCAAGACTTTTGCTCTCATGTTTGGAAATATTATTGTTAGAAGTATTCAAGATTTTTTTTTTTGGACAGTAGAGTGATAAGTAAAAACAGAGTAGAGTATTATAGTCAAAAAGGAGAAAATAGATTCAGAATAGAGTATTATAATCATGTAAGGGATTTTTGGACTATATTAATGACTAATGAAGGATTTTACCCTTTTTCTCATTTCCATTTGATTTTGATCGGATGAATAACAAAAAAGGTTGTTATGGGAATAAAGTATGAAATTGAATCATTTTAGGAATATTTTTTGTGAAGGGAAATAACCTCCATATTACTTTACACGAGTAAAAGATCAATTTGCCAGAGTACATGGAATGTAATAATGGTTGGAGAGATTTCTTCTTTTCTAAACTAGCTAATTAATGCAACCGTAGACGGTTTAATCAATAAAAAAGGATAAGATTATAGACCCATTAATTGCACATACAATACAATTCAAACAAGATAATAAAGTTTTGCTTGTCTAATTGACAACACCGGATTTGTTAAAGACTAACTACCAAACCTGTTAACTAATTAATGCGTAAAATGTCGCCACTTGGGCCGGTGGCCGTTGTCCTCTTTTACCAATTTTGGATCGTCCCAAAAAAGACTGGACAAAAAGCGTAGCAATAGTGTTCACCGAGGTGGAAGTGATAAGGCGTTTGTTCCACGCGCACAAACGTTTCTAGCGAAAAAACGTACAGACATGAGGCGGCTGCGATTTCAACCGTAGGTGGAATCACGCGCCGGGAGTGGGCTGAAGTAGCCAACGATCATTGGCTCATCCGCTCATGGCATTGGTTTAGATGAAAAATTGCGTTGCAGGATTAATGGAAATTTCCAAGACCCGTTCTGCTCCTTTTCTTTGAATAGGTAGCTGTTGACCTAAGTCAACGCCTGATCAAAGCACTCACTTAAACCTCTGGAAGATTTGAATTCCAGAGTTCATGACTGGATTTAACAAGAAAGAGTACATTTTCCAATTTTTTTTTTCTTTTAGACAACCATAGAAACATACAGTTTTAGTTTGAGATAATTTTCGATTTCAGGTTGCAAGGAACACGGTCAGGTAACTTAATTAGGTGCATGATAACAAAACCCGTGTTTGGACAGGAGATTATTTGAAAAAAAAAAAAGTATTTGAAATAATATCGTAATACTTTTTATAATATGACGTTTGTTTATATCAGATGCAAAGGTGATAGAAAAATGTATTTACGAAGAAGGTAAGTTGAATAGATATTTTACAATAAAGTAAACTAACCAAACCTTTTCTACGAAAATCCACGTTTATTGTGTGTGATTTTCTTGACTGCTGACTCCAATGAAAAGAGAGCCCTTCTTGGAGAACTTCGCCAGAGGAGGATCCAAAGATTAGAATAAGAGGCAAAATTGACGTCGAGAAAAACATTTTGAAAGCCAGGACAGGTGCACCTTTCACCATGTCACTAGCAGCATGGTTACTATTTGAAGTTTGAATTCTCCCTTCTTCCGCACTTTTATGCCCACACAAATCCAGTCGCTGTGGAATGTTGAAGGGCACATCTTGTGCCTGCAGAGCGCTATCTCGAGGAATATTATGGAAGAGAGACGATCCGCTCCTCTTTTGTTGTCAATTATAATTCTTCCAACCCCTCAAATTGACGAGTGACAATCCCAATTAAGGGCATAAAAACGACAAGGAAGAGTTAGATAGCAGCAGTGATCCCATGTTTTTTTTTTCAAAGCTAGCAGTGATCGCATTTTCAACTGCTAATTTTTTTACTATAAAAAATGAATCAAAGGCATTCGGCTGGTCAAAGTCTAGACGGACAAGTAAAGTAGACAGCAGCAGCAGCAGCAGCAGCATGAGAAAAGATGAAGTAGCCAAAAGGGACCTGGAAGCTTTCACACCTCATTGGGAACGTCAGAAATTGAATGGTCGCTTAAAAAACGATATAAATACGCACTAAAGAGGCCCACCGACTCTCGAGTTTGTACATCTTGTGACTTGTAAAAGGTTTTTAAACTTTTTTTTTCTTTTTTTTTTTGGGCCTCCACGAGCCGTCTTCTTGTCTTCAATGAATCTATCGACCTAACGTATGGAAATAGAGATAAAACTTGGTCAAAAGAGTGCCCACCACAAGCACATAGATGGCATTTAATCCAAGGCCACAAAGGATCAAGAAGCGAGAGTTGCTCCTGGTCCCAAGTGTTTGGGTTCAGATCATTTTTGTTCTCCGAAGGACAACCTTGAATTTGGGGTGGAACAAGTCTTTGGGACATGAGATATGAAAAACCACGCCAAACACACTTCTAATTGCTATCCTTCAAACTTTTGACTTCCATCTTATGTGCCTTTCCCATTCCGTTATACAACTCCACAGCCCCACATAACAAGGAAAAGCATGACAATGCAGAACCGGGTTCAAGATACAAAGTCCAACTATGCCATGCGACGGTGAGGAAATAGAAAAAGCCCCCCCCAATCTACTCTAGATTCAGATAGCAAACATGTACGATTTACCCAAACGTGGTTTTGTACTCTCCTGTCTAGACATCCCAGAATTTGGAAAAGTTGCAAGAGTCCCTCAATGATACACTGCTATTAGCTGCCAAGAAGTTGCAAAAAATGTAATTCGTTACACAATGAAACATACATACAATGAAAATAGAGGATAAATTAACAAGGTAAATGACTTCAGTCTGCTTAAAGCAGTATATAGTTGTTAACCTAAACGTCTTAATAAAATCACAGCCTTGTGAACACCAAAAGGCTTAAAGATTTTGATGGCCATACTACACCAGCCGTTCACAAAGTCCAAGAATGTGATGAGTAAGAGCATAAATATTCCAGCAAATGTTGACTAACAAGACAAAGAATGCTTAAAGTAGTTAAATGACCACATCACTTGCCTTGTAAAGTAATTAAGTTTTAGAAATATCTCTACTGTTTAATGCTGAACGGGGGCTTGAACACTCACTATGGCTATCAATAATATCATTCACCACCTACCTAAAGATCCCCCAAATTAAGAAAAGCTGAGATCCTTCGCAATTCATTTTCTCGATCAGACTAGAGGTGGACAAGTTCATTCCCTGAAGGTTGAGCAACAGGTCATCTGAATTCAAGTACACGCGATTAGCAGAGTTTGATATTGTTTGAGCAACATCCTTTGAAGCCTCAATTCTTCTAAGTTTGATAAATGAAGGGTTTTCTGCGGTAGCTTTACCAATTAGCTCTGCACTCGCGGCTTCACCCTGTGGTTACATGTTTTCAGTACAATAAGAGAGATGAGAGAGCCACGGGATGAAAAACAGACACAACAAAACTTTGCACATACAATAATGTGTAATTAACTGAAGAAATTATTTTACCTGTGCTCTGATTATTGCACTTTTCTTCTCCTGTTCAGCTTTTTCCACAACAAATTTAGCCCTCCCAGCTTCTTGTGCAGCTATTTGGTTTGCCTCGATTGCAGCAGTAAATTCCCTTCCAAAAGTCAGACTAGTTATAGACACATCATCAAGTGCGATGTTAAAGGAAGCTGCTCTTTTAATCAAAAGGCTTCGAATCTCCTGACTGACAGTCTGCAGAAACAGTAATCAATAAGTGTAAACCTCCTGTAGTCTTAGAAAAGAGAAAACAGGATCCAATGAATGTATCATTGAGCGCAACTAAAAACTAAGCACCTGACAGATACCTGTTGGAAAGATCAATGTATTGATCTGACTGTCATACTTAGAAAGGCTCGTGTTTATGTCACCTTCATGTTTATGTGACCGATGAAATGCACTTCCAGATAATAACAAGTTGTTGTATATCAAAAGTCTCTCTTTATTCTCCTTACAGTTATAGACCTCTGCTGGAGCAATTATGTGGTCCTCACCTCTCTTTGAGTTATGAGCTGGCTTGCATTGTACTGAGTAACAACGGCCTTCAGAGTTTCATGAACTATAGACGGCAGGACCCGTTCATTGAAGTTTTCACCAAGGCTTCGATAGATGGTTGGTAGTTGATCTGCCACAGGGCGCGTAAGAATGCGAAGAGCTATGTTAACCTGTAAGAAAATGGCAAATAGGAAACAAGTCGAAGATCCAAGCATGAAACAAATAGAAAATAAGACTCCTAAACTGCTCAGAATTTGGAACAGCCAAAATGTGGTGCATGAGAAGAGAAGGCTAGAATAGATTCCCAATGGTGAAACCGTTTCTTGCGATGTATGTTCTCAAGCTGGAAACAAATATAGGAGAGCTCGGATATTCTAATTTCTTTTGACAACTACACTACGGCAAGGTTTCTTTTAGCTTAAAATGGTGCATGAGGAGCATTCATTAAGTTAATTAGGTCAATAAAGTCCACCTTCAACAGTTTATATAGGCAAAACAGTATATTAATTGTAAACTTAATAAGCGCAAGAATACTTACCGTTTGGAGATCATGGCTGCCCGAAGTACCCTCAACAATATAGGGACGTGCACGAACATCATAAATTGTGGGTCTTTCAAACCAGGGAATCAGAAAATGAGTTCCTTCAGGGTACACCTACATGATGATGGAGATGTCATTTTTTCCAACTGACTCTTTCCCTTACCCTGCCTTCCTCTCAACATCCAAAAGTAAACATCAAAAGGAAAATTGAAGAAGGATGACATAAGGAGATGAGAAAATACAGAAGTTGGGTCCATCATTATGATTGTTTTGCAGTCCTTGGTTGAAAGAATGAAACAGCAAATATCAGCATATTTTAGGAGGCATTTCTGTTAAAAACAAGATGTTCAATATAAAAGTGATCTATTCTAGTTAAATATGTTGGAGATAATCATACAACTGCTTTTTAAGTACCTGATGTAGAATATCTGAAACACTGTAGAGGATTAAACCATTTCACCAACATTTCAAAGCAATAAATATGCATAGGGTTGTTCAACATTAGCGTTGGCAATGATGAGAAAGGGATGAGTCTTCAGCGATTTTTTTTTTCTATTCTAACTAAGTAAACAATTTACACCCTAAGGAAACCTGACAACTATAAAATGAATTTCAGGCTATGTAACATCAAGGATGCAGGAAAATCATCATTAAACTCAATTCAGAATGAAGCAAAACAGATGCACATATGAATAACATTTTGACGTGATGAGCAGAGTTTCATTTCAAGTGGATAAAATTTCTCTGCTATTTCAACATGAGATAGGAAACATATTGCAGGAAAATAGACAACTGAACATGTAACAATTTTACATTCAAGAACAATTAACCAATTAGAAAAACCTTTTCAGAAAGATTAAGAAGAAACTTAAAATATAAAACGCATTGCAGATCAGAGAACGACAAATAAAAGAAGGTCTAGTTGCAAAAGGAAACTGGGAATTTATAATTTAACATTAACATAGAAGGAACAAAGCTATTTGACATGATAACTATTGGTTTAAGTGTACGCACCTTCTCTTCACACCAACAATACGATTGAATACAGCAGCTCTCTGACCTCCTTCCACATTGTAAAGGCTCTTTGACAAAGTTTATATGGTAGCACCTCCAAGAACTCCAACTTTTATCAGAGCAGAGACCCATCCTGGCAACTTTGGCACATCAAACTTAAGCTTGTCCATATTAGAATTCTACAAAAGCAAGACATTGAGATCAGCATGTAATCATGTGCCAATTTAGAGCTTTGGCGTTCGAGTCAATATGCAAATAATCAAACGAGCATCTCCGCTGCATCATCATCATCATCATCATTTTGGTTTTTGGACAAGCAACTGGTACAAGTTATCACTAAATTAATTGAGAATCTCGAGTTTGGTTATTAACTTTTTTTCTTTGAAAAAAATATTATTATTCATACTTCACTTTTTGTTAATCGCACCTCTCGCTAGTAATTTTATTATATGATTTTTATGATAAAACAAATGTGGCAATGTAATTAACAAAAAATGACATGTCTCCTCTCTTTATTATATGATTTCATTGTGTGAAGGAACATAGACTTGGGTTTCTTCACCCAACGAAATTGCATTAATGGTGAGACTGGGCATAGTTTGGATTAGGCTTTCAGGCCCAAATATAAATATATTTTGGATTTGGACTTGTCAAAGCCTGATGCTCAAAGTGGTTTTTCATTTTTCATTTTTTTTAAAAAAAAATATTTCTAACAATTGGTGTGCGCTTGCCTAAACTTGGGAAATCAGGGCAAGTGGTAGGGATCGTGGGTAATCAATCGCCATGGCCGATGATGAGCAATTACGCAGAAATCACATAATTGGTGATGGAGGCGAAGATGAGGGAAAATCTACGCAGTCGCCACCGGAGAAGAAGCAGGAGCTTGATGAAGAGAGCGGTGGCGCTGAGGAGGAGATGGAAGATAGCGACGGTGCTAAAGAGGGGGAGGACGACATGAGCGATGGCACTGGCGAGGATGACGTGCTTACATCGGAATATGATTCCGACGATTCTGGTTATTTTATTATTGATAATCAGCGACTTCCGAATAGGTTGAAGAGTGATTATTTGCCTGATGGGGCTGAAGGCTCTGAAGAGGTCGATGTAGATAAATGGTCCAAGTACTATCAAGAGATAAGGGAGAGCGAGGTACGTACGCCCCTCTTTTGTTTTTGTTTTTTTTTTTAAATTTTTGTGATGATCTGCTACATAATTTTATCTGAGTGAAGCTGGATTTGCCCGCTCTCGTTTAGGGTTTTGATATCAACCACTATCCGGGTTGTTGTATTATGGCTCCATATCATCCTTTTAATGCTGCTTGCCAAAACCTGTTCGATTACTCTGTGGCTGCCATTAATGATTTCAACCAAAAGGAGGTACGTGCTCTCTTCCGCCCTTAGTTCTGCATCTGCGGTTTAAGGGAAGTGAATTCAGGAGTGTTAAATTTCTTCCAGGGCACAAAGTACAAGTTGGAAAAGGTTGAGAAGGCAAACGCAAGACTTTGGGGTTGTGGAGCCAACCATTACATAACTTTCCAAGCCAGAGAATCTGTTGCTGATGGTTTGAAAACCTTCCAAGCTTTGGTATGGTGGGGCAAAGATGGGTCTGGTTCAGATCCCTTCGCAGCAGTTGTGAAATTCTGCCGGCTCAAAGCAACTGCTGCGACTTGACCTGTATATGCTCTCCTGAGTATGTCAAGCTGCTCGGATTTTCTGGTTTTGGTTTTGAATTTTAACAGGTTATGAATTTTGAAATGAGAATTAGGAAATTGGGTTGAAGATGGCATGCTCTGTACTCTAGACCCTTTTTCCTCCTAATCAAAAGCTTTCTACCCTCTGTTTTTACTTATTTTTCTGAAAGCTAACAGTACCCCCAAAATGGAGGGGAATTTTTTTTTTTTTTTTTTGTAATTTATTGAGGATTTTCTTTGTTTAGTTTATACTTGAATTCTTCTAGGATACCCTCCATTTACGAGAATTATTTTTGTGAATGTCTCGCAGTTATAGCCGTAGAACCATAATATGATTGCAATTTTTACCTCGACCACCATTACTGATTTTCAGAATTTATTCGTGTGATCTAATTGATGTAAAGATATTTTAAAAATATGTCCTCTTGTTCATTGCTAGACAGTTATTTTGTAAAAATATATTTTGATATGACTAAAGCTTTCCCTAGGAACTTAAAATCCAAAAGATTTGGTAAATGAAATGCAACTTAAACTCCCTTATACGTTATTTTGTATACGTGATATAAACCTAAAATGCGAGTTTCTGCTAAAATTTAAATAGGTAAATGAATGCAACTTAAACTTTAGAGATAAATTTTGTTTTGAGTATGCAAAATGAATGCTACTCAAATAGTGATATAACACCCCTTTTCATGCAGAAATGTAACATCCCTTTTCATGCAGAAGGCCCCCCCATCTATATTCACAAAAACGGTTCAACTTTCAATAGTGTGTGTTATATGATTCCTTTTCTTAAACCCCAATAGCCGACTGCTTGTTTAGGGTTTTTCTCAGGAAATCTCAACTACGTACGTATTACTGCAATGGTGGCCACATTTTGTTACTGCAGCAGGTAAAAGTTGTTGTACTATGTACTGTACCCAATCAAGAATCGAGCAACAGCTGTCTTCTTAATTCACACCTTGCTCAATGTGCACAGAAAAGTAACCGCCTCAGCCTTAGCACGGCATTTTGGGGTTGGCTGAGTCCCAAGAAAGAGCTGCAATTTGGAGCTATCAGAAAAGCAAAGGCTCCTTCTTTCTGTCTGGCCACAAAAATGGAGGATTTGGTGGCTAGTCTAACCATAGTTGCAGGAGGAGGAAAAGCCAAAAGGAGCAAGAAGATCCCCACTTCAAACTCTTACCGGATGGTTTGATAGTATCCCATATCTTTAACAAAATCTCTGAGGCTAATTCTCTCTGCAGATGTTCTTTGGTTTCTAAACGTTTCTCTTCCCTTGTTTACCAAACCAAAAATGTTTCTGTCGAGATCCCACTTCGGATTCCCCGCCAGGAACTCGATAAGAAAACCACTCCTGCTTGTTTTCCAGGAAAACCAGTCCACTGTTTCATAGCTCCCCTGGGGATGTTTCCCTTCCTCCAGAAGTCCCAGCGATTGACTTTCCACTTCGAGCACTTGGATTTCGAGTTTCTGTCTCATCTCACCACCAAATTTCTTGCTAAATTCTCCCGCATGGAATCCCTCCATGTGGAAATCTTGTATCCGCCGGAAGATTCCGAGGCCACAGGCAGTATCCGTTTCATCAAGGAACCTGTGATGAAGTGGAAGCTCGACTTCGAATCAGATACTTTTATATATCTCTATGCTTCCAGAAGTTGTCTTGATGATGCTAACAACATTTATGCTAGGGAAATTGGGTTGCTTACCGTTGAATGTCATTGTCATCTGGCTATGGGTTTTTACACTTTCTCGATAATGGAAACCCTCCTGCCTTTCTTACCGGAATCCCTTCTCCGGGTGACCATCACAGATTCCAAGAACCGGAGCAAGCAAGATCTGGGAAAAACTGATCTCGCTGATCAGATGAGGCGGATTTGTGATAATCCAAGAAATACCGAGTATTTGCAGAGGGTGACGAGTGCTAAATCTAGAGTTAAGTTTCCATTTTCAGGCCCAATCGGGCAATCTTTTACTCTTTTCTTGGCCAATGAGTCCGAGGATTACTTGAAAGTACAATCCGCTTTTGAAGATAAAGATGAGGTTTTTGTTGAAACTGTACTGGAAATGGTGAAGGAGATTAGAGCTAGTCTCTGAGGAAATCTCGCTTAGCAAACAAATATCTATCTCGTCATGATGATCTTTAAAAAGTCTAAAATTCGTTTGGTTTTTGAGGTTTGATTTTCAATGGGGTAGTCAGTCTGCTGTCATTACTGTTTTTAATGCATTTTCGCGTTACTTTTTTTTTTTTTTTGGGGGCGAAAGGTCAGCTACTATGTATTAGTTTAATTTTGAGACTCATGAATCGTTCATGTAATATTAATATTAGTAGTCTGCCGGTGAATCAATGTTATTATTAATTGCTAGCAGTTTCGTTCTGTCTCTTGTTATTTTGGGGCTAAGGAAAAGCGATTCATCCGTTACTAAAGCGGAGGAAATTAGGAGTAGGGAAAATAGATTCAAAGCAACAAACAAGTTCATATGTATTATCATGAGTTAAAAAAAAACCACCACCATCACCATGTAATTGAGACAGCGTGATAGAAGAAGCTGATTATACCCACAGCCACCCACCCCTATTTAGGGAGTTTGGGGCTACCCTTATTACATTAATTAGTGTGTTTGGATTGAAATAATTTGAAACAAAATAATTTACTTCACAAATTTCAATCACATTTTTTATTTTTTCAATCACTTTTTTATTTCACATACATCACATCATAAAAAGTGTTACCGTAAATATCTCAAATAAATCATCCAAGTAAACTCTTATCCGAACAATCGCTTGAAAATAATCATGTTTCCGAGTAAGTTTATACATACCCCTAACATCAACATCCTCGTTGCCAAAGTTTACGTACAAGTGCTTTCTTCTGTCAAGACATCAGCTTTTAACCACGTGAAAGTTGTGTTTGCCCCAGTTGCTAGGAGCAGCATTATTATTATTATTTTTGCCAACAGTCTTATCTTTACTGATCAGAATGTTGTCAATGAGACAGAATTTAGTCTTCTCACCAGGAAAGAAGTAAAGGAATTACCTCTTACATGAACATGCATTGCCATTGATTCAAACTATAGCCAGAAAATTATTCTGCTGTCTGATGCTATTACGTGCCATTTACTTTGTTGGCATGTTCTCCGTATTTACTGACAGTACCACAGCACTTCACACATGTTTATCTTAATGAGATAGAGATTCTCTCAAGTTCTTGTTTCCTTGGCTGATGGGGAGCGCATATGATATAATTCCACATGTGTATAATTTGGTAAAAGACTTGGATACAATTCCAATAAAAAGTAATAGTACTAATTCTTTTCCTATTAGTAGCAGTATTTTCCAATTTTCTCAGTTTTTCTAACTTCAGAGTTGGCCTCAAATAGCTACGGTAAATTTAGGGAATTTGTTGGATTCGGTGAGGTGGACGAAAATCATGAGTTGGCATAAATAAAAAGGAGATTTCATTTTCTTAATGCTCTAACAAC